CCCCCCCCCCCCCCCCAGCTGTATCTATCGTCGGCAACCCAGCAAGAAGGGGGCTGGCTATATTGATGGTCAGCGGTCATGACTGCGTGTATTGTCGACTCCATTGCCTATTGGACACGTAGCATTGTCTAACCTCCCCTTTCATTTCTCTTCCCCTTTTGTTCATATAGTGAGTGTATGATCGGATGGTCCGAGGAGAGCTGATAACGGGATGCGTGAACTATTTGCGCGTTCGAGTATCAACCACTTTTGTATCTGCGACTGTCGTTTTGCCGATCTCTTTGGCCATCTATTCATCATTGCCCCCTTTTTAAAACTGACTCGATACCGTATCTACTTATCGAGTTGAGCGTCAAAGATCAGAGAGGATATGACATAACATGACATAACGGGCTTCTCTCCAGGCTTCTCACGAGACGTCCTCGGCATGCGGGGTTGCTAAGGTTTGCCAGGGGGGCTTTTGTCTTGTTGAGGCTGGTTGTCATTGGACGAGATATTGCAGCGTGTGTGTGAGAGCGTGCGAGGCATCGTGTGCGTGCTATTAATTGAGGGGAATGGCGCCATTGCCTTTGTCACTGTTGACAAGGCATAAGTGATGACATTGCCAGACCTTGAGAGCGATTCACTCGGGGAGAGAAAGAGAGAGTATACTGGTCACAGCGTAAGTCGGACCTCATTCATTTTGTACGCCTTTTGTATGCCTTTTTTTCGTCTCAAGTGCTCTTTTGCTATACACACCGAGAACGAACACCAGCGTCAGTCCTTGTCGAACACGGAAGTTTCCCAAAAGGGAGGGGGAAGGGGGGGGGGGGGGGGCTTTGTTGCCTACCACTCGATTTCGCACGAGGGTGTTTCTTCTTCCCATATCATCAGTTGTAGCAACTGTATCACAAAAGAAAAGGAAAGGCAGGTATGTGGAGGCAAATTTCTTCATCCTCGGCCCATCCATCTCATGGCAACTGTGAGGCCGGCAGGTAATATGAATGCAGGCTTTACATTTGTAAAAGGTAGGGGGCTTCGTAGTATAGCATCCGATGTTTTGGAAAAGCTCTGTAACGGTTAACTAACGGTGATGGTAAAAACGAGCTCAAGGCAGGCAACAACTTCGTTACCTATCAATCCAGTGCTTCTTTGAATAACTCTCGTTTTGCAGTAATTGCAAAACATGCTGAGCCATGGGCTCTGACAGAGAGAAGGCCCTGTTTCCAACTTAAATACATACCATGGACAGTACGGCGAGGGTTTGTACCAATGCTGTTTGTTCAATTTATTCTAGGCAGGTAAATACGGAGGAAATCTTTGTACATAGCTGCTATTCAGAAGTGTATACTACTAGCACTCACGTATCGCTTTTAGTTAATCCCGTATTAGGATCTTTCAATCGCGCAGAAACTTTGCTGGAAAAGGCACACCTTTGGGTATCAATGATATTACTTGAAGAGATGTTTCATACATGCGTTGTCCAAGAGAGACATGCCGCTCATCAATACATACTATCGACACATCATATTCCAAACTATTTACTAGCCAAGCAAGCTTTATTCTACACGAGGCACCCAAAAGCAGATGTCACCAGCGCCGTGCAATGAGAGCCGAACTGATCGCAATATGCGGACGCCGATTGATGCTAGAAGCTACAGCAAAACAGTGACTGACCACCCTTACTCTGCTCCGATAAGGCTCTTGGGCAAGAAGGCCCAAACTGTGCCCACGACTGAGAGAATCGTGGAGATGGTCATCAAGACGTAACAAAGCAGTCTCTCTTGGGGGGAGATCTCTTTGCTAAAGAGCTTCACGTAGAACGCCAGAGGTAAACTAGAGATACGGTCGGATTAATCTTCTCATTCGACATCGGTCACCGAATAGGGGCAAACTTACAGCACACAAATCGTGAAGCACAAGGCACTTCCCATAAAGGCCATGATGCTATCGAACGCTGGGAACAGGATGGAAATGACGAGGAAGACCAAGACCGTGATGACACGGATGGCAACCTTCATGATACCGCGGAAGGTGGCAGAGCGCCCGACCATGGCCGAGCTGTCGGCGACAGCCTGCTGGTGGATTCCGGTCAAAACTTCCAATGTGGCAACAATGGGTCGAGCGTTGAGCGGAATCTTGGTCAAGGGAATGATGGCAATGAAGATGCAGAGCAGGAAGTTGAGGGCACGGGGGTAGCCGCTCGTCTGGAGGATGTTGGCCGTGATCTCATCCATGACACCGTCGCCGTACATCAACAGACCGACAACGGCCGTGAAAGCGTCCAAGAGGTACTAGTCAACGGTCAGCGGTGAACAGAAGGATCGGGATGCACAATTTGGCTACTGACGACAGACGTGAAGACCGTCTTGACGGCCCTCGGGTACTTGTGAGGATGGCGCATGTCTCTGTAAATCTTGCCGAACAGTTAGCATGCCGCACTTGCCCACCTAGACGAATGAATACTCACATTCGGGAACACACTGTGGCCACCCCATGGGCTCATCAACAAGCCAAAACTTAAGGGCAATGTACCCCAGTTCGCAGGGAAGAGGTAAGTCGTGGCCGGCTCGATGAGAGAGCCCGGAGTCGTAGGCTTGATGAGTCCATCAACCACCAAAATCAAGACGACTGGCCTCATGCGTTAGCAAGCAGAGCTTGACGTGGGGAGAGAAAGGAGCAACTCACTGCTGAAACAACACACAATGCCGATAACGCTGGTAAAACTCAGGAGGCGCAGCGGGAGGAAGTTGAGGGGAATCATGATAATCGAACACAAGAGCTTCCACGTGTTGACGCTCAGAAAGCCCGGGAACAATAGCGTCAGAGAGTCGGCAAACAGGACGATCAAGGCGACGCAAGCAGCCAACAATTCGAGGGTGAAGAGAATACTGGTGGCGATACGCGCATTACGACCGTAGGAGATGTAGGCCAGATCTGAAAATGTGATCAAGCTGGCGTCGAGATCCATGCACTTTGCCAGAAGCTTGGCCGTGTATGCTGTCACAGCCGCAGAGCCTGCCAAGACGATCATGCCGCAAATCCAACCGGCGTACTTGATGCCCATGGGCAAACTCAACAGACCAACACCGATCAGGACACTGCGCTGCAGGTTAGATTTGTCCTGTCTTTCGATGCGCGCCAAAAACGGGGTACCACTCACTTGATCGAGTTGAAGATGGTTTGGGGTAGCGTGGACTGTCCCTCCACAGTCAGGATAATCTTTCCGTCTTGTTCGACCTCCTTTACGAGAATGGGCATGTTCTCTCCGTCAGGCACATTGCCCCCTGCCTCTTGCTGTTGGCGCCAGAGCTCGCCGGCCTGGGCCATTGATGGCTCATCGACATCTGCTATCGTTCCATACGTCCTGTACGAGCTGAAACTTCCGACCAGCGGCGGGGTCGCCAGGTGAGGCGGGACCGCGAAGATGGACTGCGACGGTCTGCGACCGCTCCCAAAGCTGGAACCACGGAAGGCTCCAGAGAGCTCCGCCTCCACTGCCTTGCGCTCACGGTCGCGGAAATCGGTCTGCACGGCGCTGTCATCTGCGCCAGAAGCGGAAGAGCCATTCTGGTACGATGCGCTCGGTGCCGCCTCGGGGGTGGCCTCGAGGTGCTGCCTCAGCAGTGAGGTCCTCGGGTGGGAACCGGACTCAACATGGCTGCGAGAGTAGTCGAGGCCATCGGTGGACGACGAGGCAATCGGGACCTGGTCAGGCGCGAAAACAAAGGACGGTCGTTGGGGAATGACCTCGGCAAAGCCTGCAGCACGCGCCCAACTGCGCGTGAAGGAGCGGATACTGTTGACACCGCCGATATCTGTGATGGCGGCAAGGTGCCGCGTTACTGAAGATCTGTAGGAGGGGTTGGTTAGCGGGGTGAACTGAGTGTGTCGTGCGCCGAGTTGCAGCGGTAGAGACAATGGCAGCAAGCTGACGTCAATATGTGCTACTCGGCTTGGGTCAGGAATAACAACCTTCTGCGACGAAGTCCGTGAGAACTGCTGCCGTAGTCACCCTCATCATCTTCTCCCAGGAGCGACTGGTCCTCAGCTACGGCATTGGAGTCGATACTCACGGAGCGCTGGGGGGAGGCGCCCCGTTCGTATTCGTCCCAGGTGGACGGGTTTCTCGAGGGCATGGGGAAAAGCTCGTGGTTCCAGCAACAACAGAGGTTGGTTAAAGTCGTTTCCACGGCGCTCTTTTTTTATTTTTACAACGACGATTCGAATGCAAAGCGGTCGCAAAAGGAATAGAGGAAGAGGGAAGGAGAAGAAGAGGGAGAGGGAAGAAGGGGAAAAAAATCTGTAGTCGACTCTTTGGGCAGGGTAGACGGTCGCGACTGGGCTATTGTTCGCGCGGGCGTTTGGAGCCTTGGAGGTGGTATATAAACCTGGTCGGGACAGAGTAGTAGCACACGGCGTGAGCGCGGCACCTTACTGAGTACGTACGGGATTTAGTAGTGTAAGGTAAGGTACGGTAGTAGCAGCTCGAAAAGACCGTGTATCGATAAAAGGCAAATGTGCCTTTTTCCTCTTACGCACCCCAAGCCCAAAGCAAGCAAAGGCTGCAAAGCAAAACCAAGGCACCCCTACTAAGGCCGGCCCCAAGTGGAGTCGTTGCGGGAGATGAGATGGGTTGCTAGTGCAGTGGGTTGTCGGAAGCCCAGGTTGGGTCTTGTCGCAAGTGTCTGCTGAGGTCCGACTGGGTTTTTTCCTTCCTGTCTGGCTCCAGTCTCCACGTCCAAGTGGATAGGAGGGCGGAACGACAGAGATAACAGCAGTTGGTGGCAGTGATTGTTACGTCGTGGCGTTAGGAAGAATTTGGAACTTGTTCGAGACAAGGAGACCCAAAGAGTTGAGGAAGTCGAATGGATGGGTGTTAGCATACTCCGTACGAAGTACTCCGTAAACTATTTGTGTGGCCATATGTGTGCTAGGTAGGTAGTTTGCCATGGGTCACGAGTAAGGAAGGAGTTTGGCAGGAGGAAAGCTGAAGAAAAAACTGGAGGGAGGACGAAGGCAAAGTTGACCTGTAAATGTTGGAAAGCCAAGGAAGGAACACTCTCTGCCTCTCTTAACCGACGTGTAGGACTACCGCGATCCCCAAGGCAGAAAAAAGTCAATGCTTCTTTTGCCTCTTTCCCCTCCCTCTTACTTTTTCGAAGAGTTCAGATGAAGACGTAAACCGTTGACCCCCCCAAGGTGCCCAACTACTTTATCCAAGATAGTGAGTGTAAGGTAGGTGGCCATGGCATTGGCATCTTGGAAACACACTGACAAAAAGTCACTATCTAATTCTTAGGTAAGGTAGGTGGGGGGGGGGGGGGGCAGGCTGGCTATCGCCGGCCATATCTGCAGATATGTCATGACATGCATTAACGGAATCCGAGAACGCAACCCGAGACTACGACAACGAATAGCGGCCGAGAGATGGCTCGATGCGGGAGCAGAAGCAGAGGATCGAGAGGGGGTACCTCTGCCGAGAAGCGGACGTGAGGGTGAGGCATCAACTGACAATCGCTTAACCGCCAACGGGAAACGCAGGGGAGACACGGGCGATAGAGGGGGCTCACAGGAGAAAGTAAAGAAAAGTCAGCTGGACGTCCAACCTTTGATTTCTCATGACGCCGTCTGCATCGTCAAAAGTTGGTCGGCTTATCGCGCCGGCGTCTCTGGTTGGACAATGGCAGAGAATGGAACGGCGCTCCTGCTGCACATCTGCTGCAAGTGGCAGGGCCTGTTGCAGGGCCTTTGCAGCGGCCAGAACCTGCAAACTTTCAAACTTGAACCAACCCTGGCTCCGCCCTCTCCACCACTACCTCAACTACCTTACCTTACCTTACGGAATGTATGTACAACCCCTCGAAGCCCCCGGGTTGCTGCGCCGGCCAGCCTACCTTATGCTTCCCTCCTCTGCGCTTCTCTCGCAGACGTACGGAGTACCGTCCCAAGGTATCACGGTATTAGGTAGCTACGAGGCAGTAGGTGCCAGACGTCTGTAGTACGTAATATTGCCCTGCAAGTCTTTCGACATCATCTACCACCGTCTCAGTTTTCTTTCTTTTTATTCCCTGCCTCCACATGTTTTGCCTACCTCTTATGGGACGCTTGTGGGGTCTCGTCACCAAACGGCTGACGGGCCTTTTCTTAGCTAAGAAAGTTGGACAATACCTATCCCAACTATTATATCCATTAGGTGACTCTCGCTCAATGTTCAGCGGCCGCCGGGTTGAAGACATCGGATATTGATGGTCTCTATCCGTCCCTTCAAGATAACCGCCCGATCCCCCCCCGCCCAGATCTCTCCGCATCCTATCTTACCTCACCTTATTACTCACCGCTATTTGCATACTTTTCTCCCAAAAAGGGCCACATGACATGTCATCCAAATGCCTTCCTGAGACAGGTTCATGCATGGAGGTTCAGATGCAAATGATGCCATCACCACCCCGCCAAGTAGCTAGTTTAGTACAGTACAATGTAGTCGACTTCGCAATTTGGGCTTTCCAAAAAGTCAAAAGGAAGAATCCTTGCAAGTAACCATCTGCCGCCGAGCCTCTCATTTTTATTTTTTTGTACTACCGCATTACCCCAGATGCTCGAGCCTCAATTCACATGCCCTCAGCTTTCTCCGTCACCCGAAAAAAAAAACCTCGCAATTTACGAGCATCTCATGACCAGTCTTATCCCAAAAAGAAACAGCTCTAGCCAAATCGTGTTACACCCTCTGGGGCCTCGGACGGATTTACGATGCACAGACTCCGTTGCCTTTTCTTTGTTCTCTCTTGCTATCCCACGAGACCGTCGTTGCTCGAGACTTTGCCCTACGTTACAGGATAGATGTCTTTAGGAATTAGTACACGCGGTAGCGTACGTTGACTGACTCTCCTCTGCGCCCGCCGCTGATACTGTCCCACGTAGCATGCGGCTCAAGCCCCCCTATCCATCTCCGTGTGTGTCTCTGAATATGGCGAAGAAGCATTCCCAAAAAAAAGAGAAAGTAGAAAAGACAGACTATTTGACTCATGGTGATCGGTACGCTCTAAAGTGTATGCAATTAACCTTCGTTACGTTACTTGAGGCTAACCGCGCTCCGATCCGGACCAAAACGATCAATATCCGGTCCGTCGTTGCTTCTTTTTCGGTTTTTTTTTTGAAAGTGCACGGCCCCTCTACCATATTCCACACCTCACTACTTGCACTCTCAACTTACCAACCACGACCAAGGGTACCTAAAGTATCAAACTTTTAGATTCGCGCACATCACATCTGACACCAGCCATCCGCGCCTCACATTCTGGACATTGGTTTCACTTTGGCTGCTTCGTTTTGCTCAGCAGACCATACATCTCTGGCGCGCAGGAACATAGAAAAGTGAACACCACGAAAAAAAGAAAAAAAAATCTAAATCTACAAATGACATGAAGACGACCACAAACACAACCGCCGCAACAGCAGCGCAAACAACACTCAACGAAGAAACAACTTCCATCGCAACACTCGTCCCCGTCCTAGCCATCCTCGACAGCTTCAACCACCGCAACAAGAACCAGCACCGCGTAGCCCGCTGGTGGTCCGCCTTTGACCTCCTCCGCCGCGCCGTCCGCCGCCTGCACGACGCTCTCGAGGCCCAGGCACGTCACCGCCGCGCCCTCAGCTTCAAGTCAAAGTCCTCCTCGTCCTCCTCGAAAAGGTCATCCGCGGCGGCCGCCGCCGGAGGAAAACCCACCAGCAGCAGTGCTGAGCGTCGTCAGCATGCGCTAGACGAAGATGTCGCTGCTAGGGTGCGGGTGCTACTAGATTCCACCATCCCCTCGTCCTTTTCGTAAGTTACTCATCTTTTCCATCATTCAGGTAAAACTTGATATAACATACCGCCGATATTGACACTGAGGAAACGCGACAGAGCCTTTACACAACTAGCAGCAGACAACCAGCACGCCGCCCTAGGTCTGGTCCTACTAGGCCTCCTAGCCCGCATCAACTCCGTCGTCACACTCCTGGCTCCTGCTCCTACTCCTGCTCCTCGGCTCGAAAAGGCCATACCAGCAGGCGATGTCGCTACTACCTCTTCGTCATTTTCAACAACCAAAAGTGCAGCAGCAGTCACCGTGGCAGATGAGAGATACCACCAGCAGCAGCAGCAGCAGCAGCAACAATCCGATTCAAAGGGTCTCGGCGTGGCCATATCTCGGGACCAACTCAAGCTTGCCGCGAAACCTGTAGATCACCACCCCTCCTCATCAGTATCAACATTATCATTGTCACGGAATGTCGATGAAGCATCAGCTACCGTCCCTCAAAAGAAGCGCAAGTTGGCGAGTGTGCCTCCTCCTGAGACCAAAGCTAGCAAGCCAGCAAAGGAGGAAAAGCCAGTAAAGAAGAAAAAAAAGGCAAAGAAGACGGACGACTTTTCCGATCTGTTCAGTTCGCTCATGTAGACATTCACATGCCAAGGATTCCTCAATACCATCAAACAATGCATCACATATAGACAAGAGTCATATAAAGCTTCAAATTTTTCATTAGCGACGGCTATTTGCTACGAGATTCCGACGTGTCCCTGCCTGTACGCCCCCTACCGGCCTGTGCGTCTCTCTTTGAGGATATTCCAAGACATAGACAGGGACAACCTGTTCCACCGCAAACGAAACCCTCCCTAGTAACAGAGCAACCCAACCTCTTCTCTTTGACATCCGCTGTTTGGTATACATATCTGGCCACTAAACAAGCCTTCGCCAAGAAACATCAACTTAATCCCGGATACGTGTGTCCGAGCCATGACGGAGCGACATTTTCCTACTGGACGTTTCGGTAAGACCAGATGCGCGCCCGCATGTCACCGGAGCCGGTGGCGAAGTAGCCGCCCGTTGGGCTGGGAGCAACTGAAATGACCGAGTTCTTGTGGCCCTGAAGCATCAATTGCGTAGCGCCAGTGCGGGGATCCCAGAACTGCACTCCACGGTCCTTGGAACCAGACATGACCCAAGCGGCATCGGGCGTAAGCGCGACGGAGAGAACGAAGTCCTGAGTACGTTAGCGAATCTGTTCATCAACTTTGCAGGCATATAAATCACTTACCCTGTGACCCTCGAAAGTCTTGACGCAACGGCCCCCCTTGGGTCCGGGGTTGGGCAAGCCGCGAGGGGTGCTGAGCTCCCACATCTTGATCGTCTTATCCAAACTGCCACTGACGAGATCTCTGCCGTTGGGAGAGAAGGCAACACTGTAGACGCTGTCCTTGTGGCCATCGGGACCTTCAAGACGCTCGAGCAGGTATCCCTGATGGATGTCCCAAACGCGGACGCTCTTGTCGAGAGAACCAGCGGCGACGTACTTGGTGTCGGGGGAAATGGCAACAGTTGTAACACCATCCTCGATAGTCAAAGTGAGGGTGTTAGTGCCCTGCTCGATATCCCAGAGACGAACGGTTCTATCTCCACTGCCAGATGCAATCGTGCGACCATCGCGGGCAAAGTCGAGAGAGTAAATGTCTTGCTCGTGACCGGAGAAGGTATTGCGAATCGTTCTAGACTGAATGTCCCAAACCTAAGAAAGAAGAGTCAGCTGAGCCCATGCCAAAATGCCTTTTCGGTCAAAACTTACTCTGATCAACTTGTCTTCAGCACCGGTAGCAAGGTACTTGCCATCGGGACTGAAGCAAACGCTGCGAATGTACAAATCACCAGTGATATCCACAGTGTCGTCCTGGAGTACACAGAGCTTCTCGCCAGACTGAACGTCGTAAATCTGAGCGGAACGGTTGCAGCCGGTGGCTACGTACTTGCCGTCATGGCTGAAGCGCACGCAGCAGACAACACTCTCGTGTGCGAGAGTGTGGACAAGATCGACATCCAACATGCGAGGCACGTGTTGGTTAAAGATGACGAACCAGTCGTGACCCGATTTCTTTGAGTGAGGCGGCAGGCGATCAGGGTCAAGATCGCCAAGGGCGTTTCCCACCGGCGGAGCGTGGGGGCCCCCCATCCGCGCGTGATCGGGAGTAGGATGGCTGACTTGAGGCGACTGGGTGGCACCCGGGAAAGGAATGGGAGTGTTGATCTGGGGCGTAGCCGGACCGACAGCTGCAGGTGGTCTTCCAATTCCACGTCTGCCCGGGCCCGGCGATGCGGTGGTCTGGGGGGCCTGAGAGCCGAGCCCGTTAGATACGGGGCCACCGGGACCCGGGGGGTATTGTTGGAAAGGCTGCTGCGACTGAGGCGGCGGCGGAGGCGGGACAGGCAGACCTGGAGGTCCCTGGGCCATCTGATGCTGCGGGCCCATTTGCTGGTCCTGAGGGGGAGGAGGGGGCGGAGGAGGGGCCAGCTGGCCCTGTCCACCACCGGTCATGATACCGTTGAAGAGACCGGTGCCGGGGGTAATGGAGGGGGGCTGTTGCGACGGGCCCGCGTGGGGAGGAGGACCGCCGATGCTGGGAGGCGCGTTTCCACGAGCTCCCTCAAGCTGACGGCGGAGCATGGCAATTTCCTCTTCGTACCTGTTCAAAAGCTCGCTGTTAGCTCCTTGTGAAAGGACTCGGCTCGCAATCATTTCCATCAACATACTTTTGCTTGAGATTCATCTGCGCTTGCTCCATGGCGTACACCTTTTCTCTGACAAGCTGCATCTCCTGAACTTGAGCCTGGACTGGACATTTCGTTAGCGTGACTGACGATAGATGTCAAGCGCAATTGTCTTACTCTGGTGTTCATAACCCTCGGTCTGGCGCATTTGGGTGTCGAACTCGGATCTGATTTGGTCGAGGAGCTCATTGAGCCGGGCCGAGTTATTGGGGGGCACCGCGCCCATGGCGCGATGCGGATACATGGACATGGTTGCGGTTGGAGATGACAAGATTATTCAAAGGTCGGAAACAAACAATTCGCGCCGGTGGGGTACGTGGCGTTGATGAAGATGGAGTGGCGGTGTTTATCAGGGATAGTATAACTGTGAGAAGCTGCAATTCGAGTGTCGGCGATGGAATAGATGCGTCGAGTTTGGTCTTGAGGTTGTCGTGGCTCGGAAAATTTAGCTGTTGCGGCTATGGGCCCCCCTTCAATCGACTGGATGCACTGAGGCACAAGGCGCGATTTGCCTTGGGTAAGGTCTAGGGTGGTTGCGTTGACAGCGGCAGAGCCGTCCAGTCAGGAAAACGCAGATGGGTGCTGCGCGACGCGGATGGGATTCGGTTGGCGTAAGGGGATGATGAGATGGAAAGGCGTTGGACTCGCGATTGATGATGTTATGTGCGCGGCGCGCGTGTCGAGTCTGTCACGGCGGAGATGGAGGAAAAGAGAGGAAGGGGAAGAAAAGTTCGGGTTAGGCAAGGCAGGTGGAAGGAGAGAAAGAGACCCGTCCAGAAGAGGCTGGCGAGTGGAACGAGAGGAGACGGTGCAAGGTGCAAGGTGCACAGGCGAAAAAAGAAGACGGATGGGAGCCGCCTGGGGATTTGATCCAAAGGTGGGCCCCCCATCAGAGGTGAACTGCTCTGTGCCGCCCCCCCTGGATCCAGGTGCACGCCAAGCTAACGTAGACGACCGGGAGGTAGCTGGGTCGGTCGAGATACATGCTCAAGATGCAGCGGTACGGGACTAGGGGACCGCAAGCGAGCGTTGACGGGTACGGAGCAGGCATTACGGGCGACAGTCATGTAGCGTCAGGTATCGCCGGGGACATCGCTACAGGCGTGGAGTCCAGGTCTGTGCGTTTCTGTGTTTTTTGTATCTTTTTATTTTCTGGTGAGCTGGCTCCAAAGGTGGGTCCCTTTCCATGTGGCGCTTGCTCCCAGCGGGTGTGGGTGGTTTCAATCTGCCCAGGCTTGGGACATGGTACGTGGGTACCTAGGCGGCGGCGACTGAATCGGTTCAGTAGGGCAGGGGGGCCTTAGTGTTGACGCTAGCTCTCGGAGCGGGGGCGTGTTACTAGTGGGGCGGTGGGGTGCATGTGCAGCCCGCACTCCGTACCTCGTGCGTACCTCAGTCTCTCAAACCTTCAGGTCCCGTTCTCACCAGCCTCTAAGTTGCTCCTGCCTACTTGACTTGTTACCTACATTGCCCAGCCTGGTAAGTAAGCAACAACTTGATGTAAATCCCCGAGTTGGGAGTTGGATAATCTCGCAGTTTTGGTGTCGCAATTCCTGCCTCTGTTTCCATTGGCTAGCAGATGCTTACAGTGATGTTATATTTGTAGAAGACCCTGCTACTCAGTAAGGTACACCCGGTCAATTTTGTGCTTTGCGAATTCCTTGCCTTGCTACCTGACGTACTATAATGACCTACATTACTGATGAAGCCTGATTTCTGCTACAGCGAAGAGTCCACAGCATCGCCCGAGTCAACTACTGTAATCTGGTCAGAAGTCAAACCCCGTGTGATTGAGCGGGACGAACAACATCATCCTGTTAGTTCGGGACGTCAATAGTCCGTAATATTTACTAAACACCACGGACGACAAGTGAGATATACTCAGCTGGTCGATTCCAGAATCGGAAGCGTCACTTTCCAGCATAGGCAACAGGCAATTCGTTCTGTTCCACTAGTGAAGAAGCAACTTGGGTCGTGACGGGAGTACGAAGCAGATTCTGTCCGGCAAAGAAAACCCGCTCGACCGTTTTCCCAAACATCGGCAGAGCTCCGTGCAAGCTCGCGGCCCCAAAACTTTCGGACTACAAGTGCTGTTTATTCGCACGTACGCCGCTACGGACGGATGTCACAACCCTGGCGGCAACCAACAAAAAATAACCTGTCCGTTTATAGCCACGTACTCCAGTGAGTATACTTGTTATCGGCACGCTCTCGAATGGTTATGGCATCGAGACAAGAGATGTTGTGCGGAATTGGTGGTTCGCCTGCATGCAATTGTCATTGTTAGGGGCGATAGCCGCCAGAAGGAAGCCGTCAGCCAGCAAAACTAACAGGCTAACTCTAGAAGGATCATCAGAAGTAACAGGATGGAATCAAGGGGGTGTAAGTGCGGGCAGGAAAGCAGGTGGCCAAGGTGTGACGGTAGGGTTGGGTCTTGTGGAAGAAGACAGTTTGGGGAGTTATCGTGAGATGCAGCGCTGCCGCATGAAGATGCGCAACATGGAGATGCGGCCGACGAGGTGGCACCCACAACTGGCATGGCAGTGAGGCACCAACCAAAGCACCAGAGCACAAGCATCCAAGCACCTACTGGGCCAGGGCAAGCCGCAACCCACCGCCGGGGGGGGGAGGGGGTGGAAGAGAGTATGGATAAAGCGTGGTACAGGGTTTGAGGGGGTGAAGCCGTGAACTGTGGATGGGTGGGCCATGGGTTGTGGTTGCGGGTGCGGGTGCAGATGCAGAATGTTCCATTGGAAGACGTGACGGGTTTCTTAGCTTTGAGGGCGGCTGCTGAGGAGCGAGGCACGGCAAGGGTTCAGCGAAAGGGGTGTGCGCGTGAGAAGAGAATAAGAGGGAGA